CATTCTACTAATAAGTCCATCAAAGGCATTCTTCATTTCTATGACAGTGTTTTTGATCTCTAGCATTTCCTTTTTATTCTTTTACAGAATTTCTATCTCTCTGCTTACACTGCCCAACTGTTCTTGTGTGCTATTGTGTCCATTAGAGTTCTTAGCATATTAATCAAAATTATTTTAAATTCCTGGTCTGATAAGTCAAATATCTCTGCCACATCTGGTTCTGATGCTTGTTCTGTCTCTTCAAACTGTTTTTTTTGTTGTTGTTGTTTTACTTTTAGTATGCCTTGCAATTTTTTCATGCTAGCCAGACACGATGCATTAGGTAAATGGAGCTGCTTTATATAGGATTTTAGTAACATGGTTGTAAGGTGTGGAGGAAGAAGCAGCATTCTGTAGTCCCATGATTAGGTCTCAGTCTTCAAGTGAGCCTGTGCCTCTGAACTGTGAACTTCATCAGTGCTTCCCATAACCCTTCAATCCCCCTTCGTTAGGGACAGGATGGCTAGAGTGCGCTGGAGTTGGGTATCTCTCTTTCTCCACATGGAAGGCTAGAGCCAACTGGAGTTGGGTATTTCACTCCCCCCAGGTACGTTAGACATTGATAAAACCCCAGCAGATTAAGCTCTGGTTAAATAGCTTCTCAAGGCATGCCTCCTTAAGAAGAACAGAATACTCTGTTATATCTCAGAATGGTTCCTTTTCCCCTCCCCCTGCTGGAACACAAGGAGTTTTTTCTTCAGTATTCACTGTGAAGACCTGGTTAAGTTCCTGGTAAAACTCACAAAACTGTGTCCTACTGGAGATTTTCACTCTTAGAATTCCACAGTGACCCTCCAGAAATTCATCGATTACAATTTAGATTTTCCTACCCGGCACTGGTTCCTGCAGAGGTTTCTGCTTGTGGGTTTCTGCTGTGGTAAGTCGTGATTCTCTGTATTCACCTGTCTCTCCAGTTTTGGGGACAGTGGTTTGCCCTGTGACCTTACTTCAAGAAGAGTTGTTGAATTTTCAGTTTGTTCAGCATTTTACTTAACAGGGTGGAGTGGAACCTTCAGAGCTTCTTATGTGTAGGAAGGAAAATCAGAAATAGTTTGCTTTTTTTTTATGGTTTCTCTTCATTTGCTGGACTTCTAAATTTTGGAATCTCAGAAACCAGTACTTAGTACTCTTCCTATTTCTATCTATACTTTTTCCTGGAGTTATCCCATCCAGTCCTATGGCCTTAAATATCATCTAATGGGTTCTGGTTCCAGGTAAGATGGAACAAGCCCACTTTCTCTTGTCTCTCCTACTAAGCACAACTATAAAACTGGATGGAATGTGCACAGCATATATTTGAGGACTCTGAAAAGTAAACAGTATCAAGGAGAATATGGAAGAAGGTCAAAATTCAGAATTCACCACCATTGAACTAGTTGTGAATTTATCATTTCCTCCCTCTGGTATCTACTAGCCTGAATTCTAAACAGCATGAAATATAAAAGTAGACATTGTCCTGGACAGAGAGAGCACCAGGAAAAGCTCTCTAGTTCTGGCTCAAGGAGCAGGCAAAGAACTCAATGCTCAGGAGAGTACAGAACCCCCTGTTTTGTTTTGCTTTTTTCTCCTCTCCATTCTCTCATGCCTCAGCCCCTAAGCGATACTGAGGCAGCAGTAGCAGAGGCTCCATGTAGTGAGAGCCCACAGGAGCCAGAAAGGAAGGGAACCTTTGCTACTTTTGGAGCTGTGATTCTGAGGAGAATGGGAAAATCTCCTTTGCTGCTTCTGTGTGTGTGTGTGTGTGTGTGTGTGTGTGTGTGTGTGTCCTCGTCCTCTCACTGCCTGGCCCCAGATATGACCACAGTCACAAAAGTACAGGACAGCACAGGGCAACTAAATCTCTCCCCTCCTGGTTGAAGGTCCAAAAGGGAGAAGATTCAAGTATTCAGAAAGTACTGAAGAGATCCCAGAGAAGAAAGAGCTTGTAAAAGTAAACCCATTAATTTGCTTCTGAACTTCTGGGCTCACCCTAAAGCTGTGCATTTGTGAATCTGACCCTAACCAGTTTACCAATAAGATAAGAGATAAGATGGTCCACTTCCCAGATCCCAAACTTGCCAATGGGTTGTACACATGCAGGAAAGCTCTGAATAGCACTGTAAAGGTCTTGAAAACTGAACTGATACTGAAATCACAGTCCCAGGAAGGTTGGCTGAACCCTTTGACCTGAACCTGACAAAGTCTGCTAAAACAAAAATATCAACATTTTTCATAGGACTTAACAAGACCCAGAATCTCATTATTTAAAGTTCAAAATGTCTATGGTACAATCCAGAATTTTTTGCATATAAAAAAACAGGAAAATAGCAACTTGCATGAGAAAAAGACAATCAACAAGTACCAATATTGAGATGACACAGGTGTTTGAATTATCTGACAAAGACCTTAAAGCAGCTTTTATACAAATATTCCAACAAACAATTTCAAACACTTGTGAAATGAATGAAAAATAGAAAGTCTCAGAAAATAAGTAAAAATATAAAGAAGACCTACATGGAAACTTAGAACTGAAAAATACGGTAACTTCAAAAAACTAGCTAGATGGAATTAGAGATGACAGATGTCAGTGAACTTGAAGACAGATAAATAGAAATTATGCAATCTGAACAACAGAAAAAAAGACTGAATAAAAATGAACAGAATCTTAGGCACCCATGGGACAATCGCAAAAGATCTAATTCTTGTCATCAGAGTTGCAGAAAGAGGACGTATGGTGATGAAAAAAATTTGGAGAAATAATGGCTGAAAACTTCCTAAGTTTGGTGAAAGAAATAAGCCCACATATTCAAAAAGTTCAATGCACCCCAAACAGGGTAAATCCAAAGAAATATATTCCAAATGCATCACAGTAAAACCTTAAAGCTAAAGACAGAAAAAAAAAAAAAACCTTGAAAGAAGCAAGGAATAGACAGGCTTCAAGAATGACATCATGCTTATAATTTTGAAAATTAAGTGAATTGAAATGCTATTTCTGAGAGAAAGAGTAGAGTAACAGTAGGTTTCAGAGGGGAAGATAGTGAGTTTTAATTTCAGGGGTCTTTGGTACACACAACTGGGATGTCCAATAGGAAACTGAAAATGAAAATGTGGAGCTCCAGGGAAATTCTGAGCTGGAGATACAAATTTGTGAGTCATCACTATAATTGAATCTGTGGAAACAGCATAGAGAATAAGCAAAGAAGTTAGGCTTTGGCTAGGCTATGCAACAATAACAAATCACTCTTAAAATCTCAGTGGGATAACATAATAAAATTTTGTTTCTGGCTCACAGCACAGTCCGGTGCAAGCCATGTAGCCTCTTCCATCCTGTAGCTTTGCCAACTGGAACAACATGCCTTCCAAGTTCAACACGAATGTGGAAGACATTTGATATTTACTTCCACTCACCCTCCCTTGGCAAGAATAAGTCCTGTGGCCCCAATCCCAAGGAAAGGGAGGCTGTGAACCGTTCCCCTGTGTGTCCAGGAAGGGACGATGGTGGGGGAAACACATGGGAATGTGTTTGTCACCAGGGCCAAAGGCAGATCTTTATGAACTTAGCCAAACAATGATAACATAGAAGTAAAGACAAGTTACGGCCCACCCAGTCTTATGCTTTCATTTTAGTGTTTAATACTTTTTTGTCTAAATCTGTCCTTCACCTGAAATATTCATTTAATCCCTTGAATGTCCTCATCCCTACCACATCTAGGTCTCTGAAAATTTCCTCTGGCTCTAACATTCTCTGACTCTATGTTATTCCTCTCTAATATTATACATCAAGAGTATAATTACCACATAAAACTGAAACTGAGCTCTTGATATAACCCTTCTCCACAGCTTTGAACAACTGTGGGTCTTTCCTTCCACGATTTCCCTGAGGGTTTTCTTCAATCTGGATGTAGAAGAATGGGATGCAATAGGTCCTCACTCTGAGGGAGGATATATTTCCATATACATGCCCTTATCTCATTTAGCATATAAATTATTTTACTTAAAAATAATGAAAATGGGAATAAAACTAGTTTCAGTCATGCCATTTATTCATATAAACATTTTTTTTGGATTCCAACTCTGTGCAAGCACTTTTTAAGAAGATGGTGCAGTGGTAAACAGGGAGCTAGGTTTTCTGTGGGGAAATAAGTGCATAATGTCAGGTGGTGACGACTTCTATAGAGAAAGGCAAAGCAGAACAAGGAAAGAGTGGAGGGTATTGGTGCTGTTTTCGATAAGATGTTCAGGTACCTGTAGGAGAAGGTGATACCTGCTACAGATCTGCATGAAGTAAGGAGTGAGCTACGCAAAGGTCTGTGGAAAGAGCATGCCGGTGGGAGGGGTCAAAAAGGGCAAAGGCCCTGAGGCAGGAACAAGCTTGACAAGGAGGACACTGTGGCTGGAGCCAGAGAGTGGTAGGCAGTGAGGTTGGACAGGTAGATTATGCAGGGTCCTGTAGGCTTGGGAAAAGAGTTTAAATTTTGGTCCAGTTATGATGGGAATTTATTAAGCAGGGAAGTGATGTGATCTTGATTCTATTGTTAAAACATCACCATGGTGCTGGGTGGAGAATTGATTTTAATGGGCAAAGGTGGAGGCCAGTGAGGTGGGAGATCATCTGGGAGTTTGTGGTAGTAATCCAGGCAGGCGCTAGCCCACTGCTATTTAATATAAAGGAGCCTGACTGGCAGCAGCCTGAGTCCTGAGGGAAGAGCCACGCTCCCAAATAGTTATAGTATGCAGAGATAACCGCTGCCATGGGTGTGTGTACACAGTGTCGTGGGAGTGCTGGGGACAAGGAAGCACCCTAAATGGGCATGTTGGAGTCAGAAAAGCTGTCAAAGGATGGACACCAGGTTGCCTGGCAGACAAGTGTGGGAATGGCATTCTAAAGAGAAAAAAAAAAGAGAAGTTATTAATACAGAAAGAGCTTACTCTTTTTTACCTTGTCAAACTTGATTTTTCTTTTTCTTTTTTTTCTTTTGCAGCTTAAAGGAAGAAAAAATGCTCATAGCGAAAGAATTTGAGAAGATACCTAAGCCAGGAGTAAGTCTTAGATGATCCACAGTGTTAAATACAGCTGGAATCAAACATCCCTTTTTATAAATATTAATGTTTATCACAACAATCAAACCTTGAAACATTTGTAAGATTGAGAAGTCTTAACTGTGAATGATGCTGAGAGGATGTCTGCATAACTTCTGGAGTAAATATAAGTGGTGCCTATTATAGGTTTTAGTTGTTTGGTATCTAATTTACTTAGATAATATCTGGTTTGTTTCCAGAATAAAAAAAAAAATAAGATTCTGTGGTCGGCACTTACAAACATTATTTTGCTATCGCTATTACCCTCACAGCTTTCTAAATACCTCGTTGTCATCAAAAAAAACTATATAAAGAAGATGTATCACTTATCTATTCCTGCATTAACAAACCATCCCAAAACTTAGTGGCTTAAAATAACACTATTTCATATTTTTCACAATTCTGAATTATTCTGGTCTGAGCTGACTCCATTGGGGCTGGGTGGTCTAGGGTGGCTTCATTCATACGTCAGCCATTTGGCAGGCTCGTTGGTCTAAGCTCACATGTCACTAGTTGGTCACATGATGGTAGAAGGATTTTCAGCCTCAAGAGAGGGTAAATCCCAACACGTGAGAACTTTTTGAGCCTCTGCTTAAATCATTTTTGACAACATCCCATTGATCAAGGCAAGTAAAGTGGCCAAGTAGAGAAATAGGCCCCACTTCTTTTTTTTTTTTTTTTTTTGAGACAGAATCTCACTGTGTTGCCCGGGCTAGAGTGCCGTGGCGTCAGCCTAGCTCACAGCAACCTCAAACTCCTGGGCTCAAGCAATCCTTCTGCCTCAGCGTCCCAAGTAGCTGGGACTACAGGCATGTGCCACCATGCCCGGCTAATTTTTTCTACATATATTTAGTTGTCCGATTAATTTCTTTCTATTTTTAGTAGAGACGGAGTCTCACTCTTGCTCAGGCTGGTTTCGAATTCCTGAGCTCAAACAATCGGCCCGCTTCGGCCTCCCAGAGTGCTAGGATTATAGGCGTGAGCCACTGCGCCTGGCCGCCCCACTTCTTAATGGGAAGAATGATCCAGACACATTGCAGAGGGGCATGATATACTGGGGAATAGGAGGAATTTGTGGCCATTTTTTGTGATTTATTATAGAAAAGTAAATAGAAACATCACCGCAGTTTGCATTGCTTCCACCTTCTGATATTTCGAAAGTATGTTGATGGTGGTTTAATTCCAAGGCCAGTCCACAAAAACCTATTTAGCATAGGGTAAACTACTATTAATTCTGTATAAGTACACCTAACCATCATTTGCAATACAGATTATAGGGGGAAAGCATTTTGAATTTTAGTTCCAGATCATAGATTCACTAATTTTACTCTCTTCCAGCATCAGAGGAAGGAGGGAGATATGCAAAAAGCCCAGAGCGGGCAAATGGATTCATCCACTTAGTCATTAGAGTTAACAGAAAAAACCAAACTTGGAAAATATTTTAAAGAGATTTATTCTGAGTTGAATATGAGTTACTGTGGCCTGGGAAACCACAGTCTCAAAAGGTCTCGAGAAAGTGTGCCTGAGGTGGTTGGGTTACAGTTTGGTTTTATACATTTCATGGAAACAGGAATTACAAGTAAAATCATAAATCAAGGTATACATTAGTTCAGCCCAAAAATGTGAGGCATCTCAAAACAGGAGCTTACAAGTTATAGGTGGGTTTAGGGATTGTTTAGTTGGCAGTTGGTCGGGAGTATTAAGTCTTGTCTGAAAATTTGGAGTGAGTAGGGAGGAATGCTTAAGATAGTTGGTCTGTTATCTGTCATGTGACACCATGAGAGCAAAAAAAAAAAAAAAACAACAAAAAAACCTGTTTAACTAGATTTTTATGGATTATAAGACATGACTTAACCCTTGTCTCGCATGGCTTTAGGTCTTGTTTATAATTTGGTATCTTATTGCCATAAAGAATCTGTTTTGTCAGTCTTATGATCTCTATTTTAACATTAATGCTGGTCAGTTGTTGTTTCTAAACTCCAAAAGGGACGGGGGTATAAGGAAGTGTGTCTGACCTCCTTTCCCACTGTGGCCAGGAACTCAGTTTTAAGGTTTTGGGGGCAGACCTTTGGCCAAGAGGGGGTCCATTCAGTCAGTCAGTGGAGCAGGGGAGCTTAGGATTTTATTTTTAGTTTCTATTAGTAATGTGTAGACTTTCTTTTTTTTTTTTTATTAAGAGACAGAGTCTTGCTCTGCTGCCCAGGCTAGAGTGTAGTGGAAGGATATAGCTCCTGGGCTCAAGCGATCCTCCTGCCTCAGCCTCCCAAGTAGATGGGATGACAAAGTAAAGTATAGACTTTCTGAGTATAAGAAGGCTTCTCTCCCATAAGCCAAGTATTCCCCAGATAATCAGACTGGGAAACAAAGATCTGTTTAATCTGGAGTAGAGGATATTTGGGGAGAATGTGTGAGAATATGCATGTTCTAGAGAAATAATAAGAAAGTGGGGGATTAAGGAGTACGAAGAGTTGGGTATTCCAAATGTGAACTCCCTTATCTTTAGTTCCCATATGTCTCAGGTTAACCATAAGCCAGACGTACAAAGATTATTTGCATCGGACTTTGTCAAATCACAAAGATACTGGAAAACAGACTTTATTTTTTATTTATTTATTTTTTTTTTATTTCAGCATATTATGGGGGTACAGCTGTTTAGGTTACATATGTTGCCCTTGCCCCCCCCAAGTCCAAGTTTCAAATACAGACTTTATTTTTACTCATGTTTTTTGGTATGAAATAAAAATTAATTCAGAAAAAATACTTAAAATATAGGAAGATAGAAAAGAGCACTAGTAAAACAAAAAAAGAATTCAGATCTAATGTAAAATATATTTAATTATACATCAGTATAATTGTCATGCTTTTACTGAAGATGTCAGAAATCCTAAGTTGCATTTCACTTTGCGAGAAATTATTCATGAACCTCAAAACAAATAGAATCAAAATGCTGAGTGAAATTATTTTAATTCGGTTTTCAAGTAGATAAATGTTTGCTCGGATTATACAACTTGATCATTTTCATGACTTGTAAAGGAAATGGAGAAGAAGATGAAAATGTTGAAAGAAAGCACTGAAGAATTACGTAAGGAAGTAATGCAGAAGAAATTAGAAATTAAAAATTTACGGGAAGATTTGTCATCTAAACAAAAACAATTACTAAAGGAGCGGAAGGAACTGGAAGAATTGATGGAATATCAGGTCGTCCTAAAGGTATGCTGCTTACAGTTCATAAATATTTAAACACTGTACCTGCATGGATGTAAAAATACATGGGTATCAAGATTAGTAGGTTTGACAAAGAAGGGTATTGTCACACAAACAGAAATGTTCTGCATTGTGACGGATCCTATGAAACTAAACCCAGGCTCTGGGAATTCACAAAAGACTTTAGGATGTCTGGGAGTATTACTGTAATTTGGAGCCCTGATCCTGGGGAAAAATCTTTCCAGACCTCACCAGACATTTTTCAGTATTGGAAATAAGTGTCAAAAATAGAATTGCTTCCTTGTAGAGCAAGCAAATGTCCTAACCTCTTGTGTATGTTTGTATTACCTTATCCTTGTCTGTTTGAATCCACTTCACTTCCTCTCACCATAAAAGTTATAAGAGGCCTATTTTAGGTTTTAGAAGATAATGAATTACAATTTATTTTATTTTGAAAAATGTATAATAACTCTCAAAACTATTTAAATAACCTAGAGTTGTTTAAAAAACAATATCTGAGATTCATTGGCTTAGAGGATAATTATGATACACTTTCACCTCTTTTGCCTTAAGAGTCTTAGAGCAATTGGCCAGGGTGTGCCCAGCTGCTACGCAGAACACAGGAACTGAGCAGGGAGGGGCTTACCAGGAAACCAGTGAAGCTTAAGCTTCAGGCCCCTCACGTACATGAACCTCTTCCAAGGCCCTGCACCTAATTTAGCAAATTTTTTGACTCTTTTTCTTAAAGAGGGCCCCCCAAATTGTATAAGTTTCTGTCTCACAAAACTTGGATCTGCCCCAGGACTGAGCCAGATCCCGCAGAGAAGTGTCTCACCCTACCGCACTGCAGTGATATATTCAACCCCACACATACATGCTACCCCAGGCCTCAAAATCCAGTGTGATTCCTAGGCGGGAAGGGACTCTTCTGTGACCCCTGCCACAGACTTAAGGGTCTTCAGGCTTAAACTGAACCTTCCGTGAATCCACAGAGCATAATGGAAAATGATGTTAGACAAACTTAGCTCTGATCTTGGCCTTGCCACTTACTAGCTGTGTGACTTTGGGAAAATTATTTAACTTCTCATAGCATGAGTCTTAGGCAGGTTTCTCCAGAAGCAGAGCCGAAGACAAGTACTGATTGTGGGAGAGGTCCAAGGAGAATCCTATAGGGGACTGAGGGAAGCAGGCTAGAGCTGAGGAAGAAGCTGGGAAAAAATGCAGTTTCAGGAGAACTGTAGTCTGACCCTGATTGCATGGAGAAGTCACGAATTCATGAACCGCACCACCCAGAGGCAAGGGGCACGGGCTGTGGTATCACCACATCGCTAGTCACTGGTCACAGCCTGCCCCTCACTTCCCTCCACCACCCTCCTATTCCCTGACGAGGCAGCTCTGTGCAGCCAGTGGCAATCCAGGGAGAGGAGATTGAGCATGAACTGTTAGCAGTCACCCCTGCAACATCTGAGGGATGGGTGTACAGACTACCTCCAACTTACCATGGTTCAACTTGTGATTTTTCACCTTTATGATGGAGTGAAAGCAATATGCATTCAGTAGAAACTGTACTTCAAGTACACAAACAACCATTCTGCTTTTCACTTTCAGTATAGTATTCAATAAATTACAGGAGTTATTCAATACTTTATTATAAATAGGCTTTGTGTTAGGTGATTTTGCCCAACTGTAGGCTAGTTAAAGTGTTCTAAGAATGTTTAAGGCAGGCTAGGCTGAGCTCTGATTTCGGTAGTTTAGGTGTTGTAAATGCACTTTCGACTGGAGATATTTTCAACGTACGATGGGTTTATTGGCACATAACACCATCGTAAATCGAGGGGCATCTCTTTCTTTGTAAAGGGAATCTTACAGAGCACCAACAGTATTTGTTACACACAGTTACCTCCTCCTTAAAATGGTAACAAACGTATCTATCTCATAAGGTCATTGTGAGTGTCTGATGGAATAATTAAAGCACACAAGGCAGATAGGATTCTACACACTGTAGTTTCTCTCTCCTATTTAATTTGCTTGTCTTAATTGCTTCTGGTACAAGATTACATAATTTAACACTAGTCCATTTCTTTTCTAGGATGAAGTGGCCCGCCATCAAACTATTCCTGTACAAATTGGAAAAGAGATAGAAAAAATAACACGCAGAAAAGTGTATGATTTACTATCTTTATTTTTGAATCCTTCCCAGCCCAAGTTATATGTGTACACTAAAACAAGAGTACTAACCAGGGGACACATCAAATTACTGTTTCAATTCTAAGAATATCTGCTTTTGGCCTTGTCTAGGTTGTGTATATCAAGTTCTTTAAAAGAAAAGAATGCAGCGAATTACTATCATTCATAACATTTATGTCTTAATTATGGGTCAAGGTTCTGTTTCCAGCCTATAAATCATATTTTTATGGAGAACTTCAGTTGACTTTAACAGAGCTGTGCAAAGGATAAATTATTTGAACTGGTTAGAATTTCATCGTCCAGAAGTATGTCAGCCAGCCAGCAGCCTGAAGCCCAAATGATGGGACCTCCTCACTTTGCCACCTAGTCACATGTATGACATCCCTAGACATTCAGAGCACATTTGGATGCACAGGTCATTGAGGAAATTCTTGGGGTTTAAGGAAATCAAAAAAGGTAAAGTTAAGATATAAAAAGTTGGGAAAAATAATGTGATTGCTCTGGTGACTGATCTTAAGAAGGGAAAATGAAGCAGGCACTATTAACAGTTCTAAAAACCAAGCTCACCAGCACCAAAGTTGAGAAATTCAGGTCAGTTCTAGGAGGCTGGTCAGGATGAGGGTAGAATCAGAGGAGATGGTAGCAGTTGGGATCTGGGGAGAAAGTAGGGAGGCCGGGCATCTCTCTGCCATTAATGGCACTCAGTGGAGATGCCCATTTCTGGGATCACTGAGTTTATGCCTCTCTCTCCTGCCTGGTTAGGAAATAAGAATAGGTAAAGACAGCATGGGCTCAAAGTAGGGCAAATGCACATGCGTGTGTATGTGTGTGTATCCCTTACAGAGAAATGGAAAAGAAGAAAATTGTCTTGGAACAGGAATTCAAAGAGCTAAATGATGCCCTAAAGAAAGTTGAAAACAAAGTCAGTGCTATAGTGGAAGAGAAGGAAGATGTAATAAAGGAAGTTGAAGGCAAACGAGCCTTACTTGAAATCAAAGAACGAGAACATAACCAGTTGGTCAAGCTATTGGAATTAACCAGAGAGAATGAAGCAACTTCACTAACTGAAAGGTTAGTTGTATTAATGTATGTTCTGTCTTCTAAAGTTCTCTTCAATTTATATTTGAGAATTCAAAACATAATCCCAAACAGTTTTATGTTGATTTAATAAACATTCTTAAAGAATTTTAAATTTATTTTTACCATTAATAAAAAATTATATATTATCAGGCTGGGCATGGTGGCTTATGCCTGTAATCCCTAGCACTTTGGGAGGCTGAGGCAGGAGAATCGCTTGAGCCCAGTTCAAAACCAGCCTGGGCAATAGTGAGACCCCACATCTACAAAAAATTTAAAAAATTAGCCAGGCGTAGTGGCATGCTCCTGTAGCCCCAGGTACTTGGGAGGCTGAGGCAAGGGGATCACTTGAGCCCAGGAGTCTGAGGTTGCAGTGAGCTATGATGACAGAGTGAGATTCTATCTCCTAAATAAATAATTAAAACAAACAAATAAATATTACCAGATAAAGCATTTTGAAGTCTTTTTTCCATCCTTTACTCATCATTTTCCTCAATTCTCTGTGACCAAATTTTATGGACATAATCTGTTGTAAGTTTCTGAAATGTGCCTCTGGGAAATTATATCACTGGAGTGTGCTGTAAAGTTCAGGGATTTTACCAACAATGAATGGTATTTCTGAGATAATCTTGACTTTTTCCTAATGGGAGCAATTTCATGGTATGATTCCCTGGGAGAGTATTATGTCCTATTTTTAATTAAAATTTCAGGAAATGGGGGGCTTCTGTCTCTGCCAATCTGTTGTTACATTCGGGAGTTTTATAAGACTGCAGCTCTAAATGATACCAACTCATAAACCTAATTGCTTTTGGCATTATTTACTATTTATTCTCTAACATGAGAATAGTTCTATATGTACATACCAAGCATGCTGTCTTGATAAGTTTTGAAAAATATGTAGGACAGCTGATAACACATCACTTTTATTTTCTCCTTTTACCTGGAACAGAGGAATCTTGGATCTCAATTTACGAAACAGTCTCATCGATAAGCAGAACTACCATGATGAGCTTTCTCGTAAGCAAAGAGAGAAAGAACGAGATTTTCGAAATTTAAAAAAGATGGAACTACTCTTAAAAGTGTCCTGGGATGCTCTCAATCAAACTCAAGCAATGCATCAAAGGCTTCTATTAGAGGTGAGTGTTGTAAACCACTATCTGATTTTTAAGCTCAGTGCTGTCTTTTGAAGTAAAAATATTTTAGGAAGTTGTTTTTGCTATTGGTAGAGAAAGAGAAGAAAAGTAACAGACAACAGGTAATTTTCAAATGCATCAAGCCTATTATAGAGTCTATATTTCTATAATGTTTTTCAGTGTCTTTTTGCTAGCCCATAATTAGAGAAATGTCTTGTTTGGATCAGGCATCAGCCTGGCCTAGGGAAGTAACTGGGTCATCCAGTTCTGGAACAGCTAGAGGGTTCACTACAGGGTAGGGCCAAGAGAATCACTATCTTTACCATTTAAAAGAGACCCAGCCTGGTGTCGTGGCAGACTATGTAAATATAGATGGTCAGTGGCCTGCACCTCCAACTAGCCAAGGGCAATCCAGAACCCAGTGTCAGGCTACCTGGCTAATTTTGTGCAGTGTCAGAGCTGTACTCCAGTCGGAGGATGCTCAAGACAGCTGTTACCTGCTTAGTACCTCTGGGTTCCCAAGTGAAGGAGCCTGGTCCCAAGGTCTCTGACTTCTTTCTCAGATGGCACTTCCTGTACTAAACAACCAAGCACTACAGAAAAGGCCGAGGATCCTTGAGAGGGATGCATCCTTGTGCTAGAGCCTTGGTCAGTGCTTCCTTTGGTGCAAAAGGGATCAGTCTCTGAGATGAAGAAGCTGGGAAACCTTCCCCATTCTCTTCAGGGTTGTTGTGCTCCAGGACCTTATGTGGAGGTTCATGACCTCAGAAATTTTAAACAGGCGTTTTCAGCAATAGACACTTCTGATTCTAACCTATACCTAGTTCTCTTCTCCCCTGGGCACATGGGAAGTTTATGCTTGCTCGCACCCCTTGCAGTTGAGCAGGGTCATGGCCGATGGATTGTGGACAGAAGCGACCCATGTCTCTTCTAGGACGTCTAACTGCCAGTGTGAGACTCTCTATTTCTTTTTTCCTCTCCTGTGGTGATTGTGGAAGGACATGATGATACAGAGGTGCTGAAAATTGGAGCAGCTGGGAATTCAGAGCCAACAGTAGCCTTAGAGAGTCAGCTTGATGGGCCACAGGTTTTGTAAGAAATAGTTTTTGTTGTTTGAAGCCATGGCAGTTGGGGTTGTGTATTTCTGTAGCATAATTTAGCCTGTCCTGACTGAAAGAACAACCTTAAGCAAGGTGTGAAAAAACTGGTTAGAGTTATGCGTGTTACAAATGGCTGGGAGTTGATCTTGCTGTCAGATGGCACTCATAATCTTTTCATTTTCATTTTTCTATCTCAGTGAGGCAAAATGTGTTTTTCACTCTTTTGCAAAATAAATGTCACAGTTAGTTGTGTTTCTTTTACATTTTTAATAGTTTTATTGAAGTTCCAGCAGGTAGATTTATTTTTATCACTCTGAAATCTCTTTAACGCTAGTAATGCTTTTTGCCTTAAAAGTTTATTTTTGTCTCATAAGATCAGTTACACTAGGTCTTTGGGGATTAGATTTTTCATGATATTTAATTTCCCATCCATTTACTTTCACTCTTTCTGTGTGTCTCACATACATAGCGTCTACTTTTCAAAATCTGGCCTGATAAGTTCTGCCTTTTAATTCTTGTATTCAGTCCAAAAATTAACATTTAATGTAATTGTAAATACACCTGACCTGATATTTATTATATTATTATTGCTTTCTCTTTGTCCTGTTTTATGTCCCTTTCTTCTCCTATATTTTCTTCTTTTAGATTAATCAAAGTTTTATATTGTTCTGTTTTCCCCATTTTAGATCTGCATTAGTTAGTTTTGTGTTCTGTTTCTATTCTTTGGGTGGTTACTAACCCTAAAGATTACAATAGTCATCCTTGACTTACTAGACTCCAGTATAAATTAATACTTTACTACCTTCCAGGAAATGCTAGAACCTTTGAAGACTTTAACTCTATTTACTATTGCAACTCCAATGCCTTCAAACATATTTTTAACCCAACTTTCCAAGTTATTCTTGTAGGAAGCTTTGGTTTAGTATATGCTACTCCACCATAGCCCAAGGCTGAGGGCATTAAAATGTTAAGTTGGAACTTTGGGCAAACAAAGACCCTGTGGCCACCCCACCTGAGTCATAGTGAGATTATAGTAAATAGCAGGTATAATATCTGTTCAAAGTAGTGATGGAAAGAAAAAAAGTATTGATGGAAACCTAAATGTGATGAGTAGGAGACTCTTAAAACCAGCAGGTGTTGCTTGTCTTGATAAAATAATTCTTGTTTATTGACCAAATAACCATTCAGTAAGATTTCTTTAAACGATAGGATAAAAATTATCACTGCTTTTAATAACCAGTCTTGTTGATTCCAGTAATAAGTAAAGTTAATATGTTAAATATATTTCTAATGGTAAATCAACAAAAAATTCCCATTAGAGTAAGGTAACTTAAATAGAGGCAGTAAGATAATTTATCACATAAATTAATACTAGTTATCTCAAAAATGGTTATACATTGATAAAAATCACAAGATTGGTTCTAAAAGATGACATACACTAAAAAGACTTAAGTTTGCCTCTACCAGAAAATCTAGATTAAGTGCCATAGAAAGGACACATAAAATAATACAAAATGTAATTCTGCTAGTTCTACTTTTAGTTAAAATATAAAATGTTGTGGTGGACCATATTTCCTGCCATAATAGCCAGAAAAAAATAAACTAAAAATCATATATTTTTAAAAAAACATATGAGAGCTGTGGAAAGTAAATTTCAGAAAGGCATAGTCACTTCTGGTGAGCAGAGATGGGTGGCCTTTTCCCTCCCTGGGGCATTTGCCTGGTCTAGGCATGGGCAGTAGAAGATGGGCCTGCCAGAGGCAGGCAGACTTTGCTGGAGTTAGGCAAAACCATCAGAGTTTTTAATGACCACGTGGGTTGGCATGACAAACTGGAATCTGGAAGATTCCTTAATCAAAGACATCATACTCTCATTTAATGATATTGTACATTACAGTACACCTTTGCATTTAAACATGGCTCTTATTGATTTTAATTTTGAACTGAAAGGAAATAAGACAATGACTCCTGGTGTTTTGCTCTGACATTCACCATCATGTTTTAAGGGTTAGAATACCATGACTCTGTAAGGTTATTCTATTTCTAAACATCATGTCCGAGGTGGTGACAACAACAACAAAATCCTCTTACCAAGCAACTATGCCACTTTATATATGCTACATTTTTTCTTTATTGGGTTTTCTAGAAATTTCATCTCTCTTTGCCTTGATTTAAAAGTGATTCTGTCTTCATGACTCACTTCTAGTGTTCAAGGCAATTGTGACAATATACTATATGGAGGAGAGATTTAACTTTGAGTCAGGCAGAGGCAGGTTTACATCCTAGATCCACTGAACTTCCTATATTAGGTGTTTCCCAACCTTTGAACTGGGATTACTGCAAGGAGTAAGAATGATTACAAATGGGAAAGTGTGGGACCAGGAAGGTACTCAGTAAATATTGCCTCCCTTCCTTTATACATAGAAATTTTTTGAAAAGCTAAAGATAATTTTGTAGTTAGGATAAGACTATGAAATGATTATTTTATTCCTGTGGAGAAGATGGCATCCTCAGGCCCTATTGATGAACCTCAGAGACGTGTCTCAGTACCCACTCTGTGCCACCTGAATGACTGCAACTGCCCACCAGCTGTCGTCCTCCATAAGCCCAGTTCCTTCTCTGTCCAATCTGTCCTCCATTTTGCTACCAGATTAATATTCTTAAGAGACACATTCATGTGTACTTCATTTGCATACTTTCTGCATACTTATCATTAGTTCAGTCCCAAACTCTTCTCCAATTGTATAAATTTACTCTGAGTATGTTAAAACACATTTGCTAGCCCATGCATTTAATCTTCTGAAGAAATCACTTGCAAGCCTGGCCAGTGACTTCTAGCCAGAGACCAACAGGCACACACCTGTAGTTGAATGAGTTGAGTTAATGACACATTGCGGCAAGGAAGAACACATGCCATGGAAGGTTGTAATGAGTGTCACTGGAGGATATTAGAAAGGACTTATAGCATTTGTACTTTGGTATATGAATTGGGGGATGGTTTAAGGAAATGGGACTTTGCCCTGAATTTGGATGTTGTCAGGAAATGAGAGTCATTCTATGCTTGAATATCTTAATGAATCTTAGCTAGAAAGAGTAAAGACTAGATGGAGGCTAAGGGCTGTGACTGGTAAAGGCAGCTGCATGTGGGGAATGTACGGTATTTGGTGGCTTGAACAATGCTCGTGTTTTTGTCTGTGTTCACACACAGTTACGAAGTGGTCTTATTTTTGTCTTGATCCACCATGATCACAGAGTGGCTATGTCTGAAGTTGATGCTGTGTGAAATTGTTTATGTTCAGCAGAATACCTGGGCCTGGCTGTGCCAGGCCGGCTCCTGGGCATCAGGGGCTGCTTTTCTCTTTCTCACCTTCGGACTTGTTACAGATCAGTCCCATTTCTCTATGTGCTACTGCCCTACTCTCACCATCTTGGTGACACCTTTCACCTCTTCTCTGTGTTGGATTCCCTATTTCAAGGATCTCTTCTATTTTGCTCTCCTAGCTTACTTTCTTTTTGTCGGGGGAGCATGCCTTCCAGTAGCTTCCCGAGAAAATGTGAGTGGAAAGTAATTTTTTAACACCTTGTGTGCCAGAAAATGCATGTCAGAAAACCTGACATTACAGAAAATATTTCCCCCTCACACCAGCCATACACATAATTAGTAATTGAATTGGTTATAGAATTTTAGGTTGGAAATAATTTTCCCTCAGAAAGAAGGCATTAATCAATTTTCTTCTAATTTCTGTAGTCACTATTAAGAAAACTTGGTTATCTTTCTGATTATTGATTCTTTACTTGAAATCATTTTTTTTCCCCCATGCTGGAAGCTTGTGGGATCTTTTACTTGCCTCTAGAATTTTTAAATTTCACAACGATATTCCCATTGTGTCCATTGTGCTGGGCATGCAGTGGGCTCTGTATACGGAAACCTGTGTCCTTCAGTTCTGATATTTTCTCTTGAATTTTGTCCACTCTATTTTCTCTGTTCTTTCTCGGATTCCTTTTATGCAGATGTTGGACGTTCTAGAACAGTCCTCTAATTTCCTTGTCTTTTTTATTTTCCATTCTTTTTTGTCTTCTTGACTTGCCAAAACAGAGATTTCTTCAATGTTTCCTTCCAACCCTTCTACTCTTTCATTCTACTATCATATTTTATATTTCCATGAACTCTTTTTGTTCTCTGAATGTTTCTTTTATATAGTATACTTATTTTTGTTCCATATCTCTTCTTACCTTACAAATGATTTTTTTTTTTTTTTTTTTGAGACAGGGTCTCACTCTGTTGCCCCAGCTAGAGTGCAGTGGTGTCATCATAGCTCACTGCAGCCTCAAACTCCTGGGCTCAAGTGATCCTCCTGCCTCAGCCTCCCAAAGTGTTAGGATTACAGGCATGAGCCACGGGGCCCAGCCCTTACCTCACTGAGGATATCTTTTTTCTTCTTCTTCCTCCTAAATAGACTTTATTTTCTTCAAGTTACTTTTTTCTGGTTTTGTTTGTTTGTTTGATTTTGTCTCTTTCTTATTAGAAACTCTCCTCTAATATATGGTGGTCCTTGGTTATCTACTTATATTTAAGCATGGGATGCTATAAAACTAATTGGAAGGGTTTCTTATGGTGAGGTTTGTTGCTGTAGTTTGATCTGGCTGGACAAAATATGTAAGGAATGGACCTGGACTGAAGAGAAGTTCGCAGTGGAAGGCTCACAAGTCGTTCAGATTTTAACAAGTAAAAGCTATTAATATTTATAATGTATTTTGACACTACTAGCTATTCAGTTCACCAACTAGCACCCACTGAATGTAAAACTAACAGAAATTAAAATGTATTAAAATAAAATCCTCTTCCTTCATTGATTTTAAGAACAATCTATGTTTTTGTCCTACTACGGTTTCAGTAAGAGACTAACTTCCTCTTTGACCTTACAATTTATAATTATCCCAGCCACTGCCCACAGCTGGCAGTACTTGAAAATAGGGGTGGGTCAGGCCAGTCACTCCCAGCTCTAGTGAACATTTCAGACTTGCGTGCAATCCAGAAAGGAAAGAGATAAAAGGTAAGCATGAAGGGCTCCGGCAGTTCTTCAGAATTTATTTCCCCCCAGAGACAACTGTTTGGTTCTCCTGTGGCATTTGACTGTACAGAGAGCCTCTCCTGGAAACTAAAGACACAAGCCCCACGAAAATTTAGAATATTTTAGAAAAATATCAAAGCATTAAACTAAGGTTCATTGTTATCAACTGGGATGTTTACAGCAACAGAACTATGTTTAGTTTCATAACTTTTATGAAAGCTACTGATGATTATTCATGCAGTGAAAATATCTGGATGGACAGACACTAAAACTATTAACAGTGACTCCTGGGGAGTGGCATTTGAAGCAGAGCAGGGAGCAGAAGATGTTTAATTTTTACCCATTTCTGTTGTTTGGTTGGTTCTAATAAACATGTTTTTTAAGTGTAAAATATGCTACATTATAAAAACCAAACCAAAGAACTAACATAAGCTTACAAAAGCTGCTGATATATGCAATTTAGGACTCAAAAGTAATGGTGTGTATCTCGTCACCTCAGACCACGTAATTAGAACTTTGATACTTCATAGTTTTTTGTCCTCTTGCATTAAGGGAGACTTTAGTCTAACTCCAGCCCATTTTCCAAATTACTATAGGAAGATTTCCTTTCAAAAGATATGTCAATTCGGCTTGCAGGTTGGCTTCAACAAGTTACAGAAACTCAATTATAGCAGCTTTGCTAAATAGGAGGTTGTTTTATTCACATAATATAAAGAACAGAGATAGGCACATCAGGTAATTTCACGTAACAAAAAGTTCAGGATTCTTTTAGCTCCCTTTTCTGTCATCCTTAATGTGTATACTTCTTCTCCATGGCTACTCTACCTTTAAGCATAGGCTCACACAAGAAGGCAGAAGGGCAGAGAGCAAAAGGCACGTGCTAGCTGACTTGGCTGGCTCTGCCTTTTTAACAGGAAAACAGTCATTTTTCCAGGAGCTCTACCCAGCAGACTTCCCCTTATATTTCATTGGCTTTTCCTGGCTCACAACTGCAAAGAAGTCTGAGGACTCCCGGATACACTGCAACTTTAAACACAAATGGAGTTCTGTTACTAAGGTCAAATGGAGGGTGGCTATTGGCTAGGCAACCGGCAGGCTCAGCTACCAATGGCTCACCTTGTGACTTCTTTAGAAAACCAAGTATACCTAATTCTTGCCTGAAACTAGAGAGCTGGGTTTATGGAGAATTGGAAAAGGTGTCAGAGAAGCAGCTAGCCAGAGTTCAAAAATGAATACAATTCATTGCAGTACTATTCGTACTTCAACACATTGGAAACAACCAAAATGTCTGAGGCCTCAAACCAGGAAAATCTGTCAGGAGCCTTTAGTTGACACAGTAGCTGGTGAGTGTGCTCTCATCACATTTTCTGTCAAAACTTTGTAAGCTTTCCTGGTCCCACTTAGCATTTATGTACAGATTTGCCCACACTTGGGAGCAGAGCGTGAGGAGCAGCTTATTCCTGGCCCACCTATCGCAGAGAACCAGACGGGGACCCAGGATACTTGCTGGACTTCCTCCATCCAGGAGGACTTGACTTTCCAGGAGAAATCAAGCTGTTCCATGCTGACTTCTCACCTCTTCCACAAAGTGTCCCCTGATTATTCCAAGTGTATGTTGAGTTCTCCCTTTTTTGATCTGCTAAAGCGCTTATCCATTAAAATAATATCCATTCTGTATATTGTTATGTAGGTTCCACAAGACCATGTCTCATCTTCTTAAGTCAGATGTGTGCCTCTCAACAGCTAGCTCTCCATGGTAGGAGACGTGAGGGGGAGCAGGACGTCACGGGGCACCTGAGGGTACAGAAGCTGCTATTGAAGATATACTTATTCATTGATGGTAGGGCATAGCAGCATGACCCTCAGAAAGATCCTGCTAGGTGACCTTTAAATCACTAAACAGTGTGGTATTCCCTTCTTAGGACAAGTTTTAGCCAGTATTCAATCTTGATGCCTAAAAGTGCGTGCTATCACAGTAGGAAATGAACCACATCAAATTGGAGTCATGTGATTTTGGTATAAAGATCTAACTCTGGCTGGGTGCATTGGCTCACGCCTATATCCTGGCACTGTGGGAGACCAAGGAGGATCACTTGAGGTCAGGAGTTCGAGACCAGTCTGAGCAAGGGTGAGACCCAGTCTCTGCTAAAAATAGTAAAAAATCAGCCAGGCATTATGGTGCATGCCTGTAGTCCCAGCTACTTGGAGGCTGAGGCAGGAGGATCACTTGAGCCTGGGAGTTTGAGATTGCTGTGAGCTAGGCTGATGCGACTGCATTCTAGCCTGGACAACAGAGCGAGACTCTGTCTCAAAAAAAAAAATAAAATAAAAAAATAAAAATCCAACTGTGAGTCTTCTCTAAGTCACATAGGCTGTAAGCACCAAGATGACCCTTCCTATAGCCTCAGATGGCACCCTTCCCCCATCGGCTGCCAAGTATCCTCCTCTTTGCTTTCTTCTTTATCATAAAGAATCTGACAAACTCACTCCTAATAGGGCAACAAAGACTATAGAATAAGATGTTGCCTTCTCCCTGAAGTACTTTAACATAGGACAGAAGTGCAAGGCAATACAACAGAAATGTAATGGTGGAAGTTTAGGGTATCAACAAAAAAGTTAAAGAACTTTTATTTTGTGTAAGAACTTTCTAGTTATTAATCAAACTATTATGTATAAATAGCAAATTATTCCCACTGTCATTAATAAATGCTTCATATTTTTCTTTAACCTATAGGATTTCATAAATGAACTCACATTTTATAACTATCATTTGAATAGTCATAGTATATGCATGTTTCCAAAGTGCTAGGTCATGAGTTAGGCGGTATAATGTAGTGTTAAAGTCAGGGGCTCTGAGTCTAACTCCCTGAGTTTGCACCGGCACCACTGAGGCAAGTTGCTTAAATATTTTTGTGCCTAATTCTTCTCACCTGTACAATTGGAGATAATATTGCCTACCTTATGGGGTTATCGTGAGGATTAAATAAGATTATATGTATAAGTACTTAGAACCTTGCCAGGCACTTAGTCTATGCTCAAAAAATGTTAGCTATTTTTAGTAAGATTGATTTTATTTCTAAATGAATGATAAAATATATGCAGCTGGTGAATTATAGATTTTTGGCAGGTCTTCGTATTTTAGTTTGTCATAACTTTATAAAGAATATTTGATATAATAGACAGTTCCTATAAAACTGAGAATCATAGTTTGCCCACCATTTTAAAAAGTATGTGATGGGGTTGACTACATGGCATTGAAGATTTCTTTCTTATGTAAATGCCTGTTTTAAATTTCAATTTCCAGATTGAAGCTATCCCTAAAGATGATTCTACATTATCTGAGAGAAGGAGAGAGCTCCACAAGGAAGTTGAAGTAGCTAAGAGGAATTTGGCCCAACAGGTTAATATCAACTTTCATTTAAGCTTCTGTCTAAGAATAGTTGATACCAAGTTGTGTTTTTAACTATGCTCAATGAAACTTCATCAATAAGAGAGTCATCAATATGAGAGAGTATGATCCTGTCTAATGTGGGCCCAGTTCTTCATCTCAAAGCCCCCTCCAACACCACATTAAATTTGAGAAAAAAGGATGTGTTGGAACTGGCAAAAATTATACAAAGTAATGAGATTTTAAAATTATTTTAAAAGTAAACAATAAATATTTTATTTCACCAATGTCTAATAAAAACTCTCAAATTTTGTTTATTCAAGCTACAGTTGAGGTATTTTAAAACATGTTTTTATGTCTTTTTCTAAACTTGAGGATACAGTCTGAATAAGAAAAAGTTCTACCATTTGACACTGGTTTGCACATTCTTTTATAAAATAAAGAAAAAAAGCTAAGACAGTGGAGTGAGTTTGTTTTAATAAAATAAATTCTACACAGTAAATAAAAAGGTAGTCTAAGATACTAGCCTTATTGTATTTTTTCAGACAAATAAATTATGTTGTGTTTTTTCAAAAGAAAATTCTATCAGAAGTAGAATCTAAGTTACTAGAACAGCAACTTGCAGAAGAAAACAAGCTTTTAAAGGAGCAAGAAAACATGAAAGAGCTGGTATTTGCCCTTGTCCGTATGACTCAAATGAAAATTGACGAAAAGGTGCAAAAGTCCAAGGATTTCCTGAAAGCTCAGGTAACTGCATTTTGTAACCATTCATTAATTACTACAAGAGTTCAGGGTAGCTTCATCTTAATGCAGTGTCCTTTGGAAAGCTATACAATCAACCCTTGAACAACACAGATTTGAACTGCGGGGCTCACTATTATAAGGCTTTTTTCCAAGCAAACACAGATGGAAAATACAGTGTTCCAGGATACTAAACCTGCCCGCACAGAGGGCACACTTTTTGTATAGGTAGGTTCTGCAGGACCTTGGGAGTTGAGTATGTGTGGATTTTGCTATAGTCAAGGTGTCCTGGGACCAATTCCCAGCATATACTGAGAGATGACTGTAATTGTAAGTCTCCTTCAAGTTCCAGTGACTACAAATCTTCCCTAAATGAGACTCTGTTATACACTGAAAAATAGTCCCAGGATTCATTTAGCAATAGTCAATAATCAAGAGGGAAAAAAAGATGGACCACTGACAATGAGCAGAGGATTTGAACAGATAGCAATTTTGGTAAGAATAAGGTAGGTGCCTCCAGCAGACAGGGCTGGTAGCTGCACAGGCTGCAGATGTCCTCTGGGATTCACTACTGTCCCAGATTCCACTGTGATTCTCTTAGGAACAATTCAAGAGTGGTGGCATTCAACAGCTGTCCCTCCCAAGTTCATCAAGCCACCATTTACGCTAATACCAGATACCCTTAGTTACTGCTTCACACCATGATTTTCCTGGGCTCCTACAAAGCCAGAGCTGACCCAGTGCAACATCCCAAAACAAGAACAACAAGAAAACAAATGGCAAAAACAACACTCCTGTCATGCTAGCTAAAATTCTAACACTAGCATCATTTATCCCATGTAAAGATTATGCCCAGAAGTTCCTTGTTAAAAATGAATAAGATACGACATATTACTAAAATGGAATACCTGGATTTATCATGTGACACAGATGTTGTCTGTTTCTAAGTGCAACCTTTGTTCTCATTCTAAGTAATTATTTACATGGGATGGCATGAAAGAACTCACACCAAAGCATTACTGAGCAATGAGCTTAAGTAGATTTTGCAGAGAAGACTTGAGGAGAAGATCTATATCACACAACCCACAGCGAACTCTTCACATCCCCGTCCTGTTTGTTTTCCCACCTTAACATTTGAGAAAAGAAAAGAAGTCCAGCATGGTTGGCACATGGGAAGATGGGGGGAAGGGATGTCAAATAGGGAGAGCAGGAGAGGTCAGATAAAGGTCACCTAACCCATGTTAGCCAGTGTGGACTCCACCATGAAGGCCACAGCAAGCCCAATGGGGTTCACAGGCTAGTTGGGTTTTGCTAGAGTGAAGAAGGGAAATACAGTGGTGAGGGAGGATGGAGGAAAGGAAGGCAGCCTGAGGGAACAGGAGGAGCAGGAGCAAATCAAGGAGAGGAGAGAACAGAGATGTGAGAAGGCCATCTCCACCAAGGTCAGGGTCTGGGATGGCGCTGGTGCAGAACAGCATTTTCAAAGCAACCTGGCGTGGGCTGGGAAGGATTCCACTCCTGTGAGTTTTTCCTAGTTAGAAATTTCCTCCCTTTTCTCTTTAGAAATTTTAGAAACACTAGAGGGATACTTATTTGTTATAAGAAACACTAATCTGTTTTACGAATCAGAAAATTTCAGTTAATCTGAAAAACTGATACATTTGTTACCTATGTGTGACTATGTAAAGCAAACCTCATAATTAGTTAATTCATATAAGGTACAAGACACTTCTTGAGATACGGAAATCGATAAAGGAAAAATATTGTTTATCCTTTGAGTATTCTTAGAACTGGGAATTAGTCTGTTGAACATTAGCTGTAATTTCCATAAGAAGGCAGTCAATCTTATTATTTTGCTTTCACACCACATCTACATTCCTAAAGAAGACAAAAAGTGAAGGGAAAAACCAACGTTGCTATCACCCCCAGGAGAGAGTAGATGACACTGCATTTTTATGTATTATTCTTCACATACACAATTACTGAAATGTTAGTTTCTTCCTAACCCCAATTTTCAATAAGAACAACATAAAATTGCTGCACATCATGTTGGCTCTCTGATGGCTTGTTTCTTTTGAATCACTCACGCTAAATGGGTTTTGCTCTCACAGGCCTTGGGAGAAGGCTGACAGAAACTGTTTTCTCTGGTTTCTACCGGCAAATACTTCATCTTTGAATACCTTTCTTTTCCCAGATGATGGACTCAACTCAGTGTCTTTAAATTTAAAGACCATTACTAATGTATTTAGCCCCTGATATATTTTTAGAAGTTTGGAAATAGAACTGCTTTCTTTTAAAATATTCACGTGTGATCTGTGTAACACCTCCTTACAGCTGGCCTCAACATGCTGCTTTATTGTGTAGGAAAACACAACCAACATACAAAAGAATGAGAAGGCACTTTGAAATCACTGCTTCAATCTCCCACAAAATACCACAGAGGGTTCAACTTATAATGCTTATCAAAACTGACTACAAAAAAACATTACTGCAAATCCTCTTCCCTCATCGATCTTCCATAAACTAACCCCACGCTCACCCAGTCCAGCTGTGTAGGTCACAATCACTCTTCCTCTCTCTCAAAAGTTCCCCAAACTTTTCCTCAAACCAAACCTGTGCAGGCTCTTTTCCTTTTCTACCCTCTCTCTCTTTCCCTTTCTTAAGTGATCCTTTGTCCTAGCCAGTGCGCATCAGTTCTGCGGCCAGGCTATTTTCTGATCTCCCCGCTACCTCTCACCCTCATATGCACAACCCAGCGTAGGCCACGATAGAATTTTCCTTAATGGACGGGAACAATGTGGGGTGAAACTGGGAGTATTCATATGTTTATTTCACACATGATTTTTACATTTCAGCAAAAATATAACAACATTGTTAAGGAAATCAAAGCAAAGGATCTCGAAATCAGTATACACAAGAAGAAAAAACGAGAAATTCATCGGAGGTAAAAATTATGTGATGATTTACCTATTTAGTTGGGAGCAAAAGACCGATTTTTATTTCACAAGCTTAAAAAAATGCTTTATATTTTCACAGACTCAGAGAGTTTGCTAAACTGTATGACACTATTCAAAACGAAAGAAACAAATTTGTTAACTTACTTCACAAAGCTCATCAGAAAGTAAATGAAATAAAGGAACGACATAAAATGTCATTAAATGAACTTGAAATTTTAAGAAATAGTGCAGTTACTGAAGAAAGGTAAGTGTTGTAATAATTATTGGCCTTTCAAAGGCTTGTCTTCTGATTCATTTGAACTCTAAACTATGATAATCTAAGCATTTGAACATGATTCCTTATACTTCTGTTTGGGAGCCATAGTTTTTAAATAAATGAAAAACTACATCATTATAACTTTGCTTACCATGATGACTTTTACTTGCCTGATTATAAAGAAAAGCACAAATCTAATAATTTTATTTGAAGTTAGAAGACAATCAAATTGTTTATTAACCAGCACCCCCTGGTTGTAGATTTAAAGAATCTCATGTGCTTTATAGCAATATAAAGCAATATAGCAGAGTGGTGAAAAGAAGGGGCTCTCCGGACTCAAATCCCACCCCTGCCACCTATTAGCTGTGTGACCTTGGACAAGCTACTTTATCTCTCTGGGTTCCCTTTCCTTATCCATAAAGATAGTCCTTATTTCATAGGGCTTATTATTATTAAATGAACTAACCCATGTAAAAACAGAAGAGTATCTGGAAAACGTTTCTTTTTTTCTATTTATCATTTACCGTGTGCCATGATCTGTTGGACTCTTTCCCCTGTTAGGCATCAGTAGATGATCCCCAGGATTTATTGAGTCTATACAACTTGAACTATTTCTGGTGGCTGTTATTGCCCAGTTTCCTTTCAAAAAGAAAGATATTACAGAATGGCCTCATCAGGGGAGTAATGAAAAGGAAAATATGCTTTCTTAATAAGATTCTTATCCCACATGAAAATAAAATATCATTTATAGAGATCACATATTCATTCAGCATTAATTGCAACTCTATGCTGAGTCAGGTACCATCTTAAGTCTAATCGACATTCTTGGACATAACCCTCTCCTTCCTCTAGAGCTGCGGTCCCCACCCCCTGAGCTGCAGACTGGTAACAGTCCGTGGCCTGTTAGGAACTGGCTGCGCAGCAGGAGGTGAGCAGCAGGGAGGGAGCGAAGCTTCATCTGTATTTACAGCCGCTCCCCATGGCTCGCATCACCGCATAAGCTCCGCCTCCTGTCAGATCAGCCAAAGGCATTCTATTCTCATAGGAGCGCAACCCCTACTGTGAACTGCGCATGCGAGGGATCTAGGTTGTGGCTCCTTAAGAGAATCCAATGCCTAGTGATCGGAGGGGGAGCTGAGGTGGTGACGCCAGTGCTGGGGAGCAGCTGCAAACACAGATTATCATTAGCAGAGAGGTTTGACTGCACAATAAACTTAACACGCTTGAATCATCCTGAAACCACCCCTTGCACCCTGGTCTGTGGAAAAATCGTCTTGCATGAAACCAACCGGTTTCTGATGCCAAACTGGTTGGGGACCTCTGCTGTAGGGAGCAGTCTCCTGAGAATGACAGAGCAATAAAGGAAGGACTACAGTCTCTTGCTTTGATAAAGTGTGTCAGGATGACCTTGGGGCACAAAGGAAATATGTCCTAATCTGGAGAGAGGGAGGATCTGAGACCTGGGAGGATTATAAATATTCCTGGAGAGTATCACAGGATGAATATCATTACTACTACTGTCATTTCAAGCGACACACTAAAGCAAGATCTAATTTGCTAGTGCTTGTGTTTCAGAAGTCTTGTTTTTAAGAAACTAGAGAAAGACCATAATCTTACCCCTTGTCCCATTATTTTAAAAAGAAAGCTACAAAATTTCATGCTGAAACATGCCAACAATGTTACCATCAGAGAGAGCATGCAAAACGATGTGTGCAAAATTGTATCAAAACTTCAGGAAATGAAAGAGAAGAAGGAAATCCAGTTAAATAACATCGACAGGCTTGCCAATACGATCACAATGACGGAAGAGGAGATGGTGCAGCTTCGCAAAAAATACGAAAGAGCCGTTCAGCATCGAAATGAAAGGTAAAAACCAGGAACCTACTGTGAGAATGGAGCACCAAGGGATTCAGTTTAGAAATGTCACCCATTTTTCTACTTAGACTGGACAGTGAGTAATGATGGACATTTGACATTCAGGCTTCATTGGCCTTTGGAGAGGAGGGGCTATTTCTCCTAAAAATAAGAAATGTGTTCATAAAAGAAACAAAGAGGAGGGTTTGGGAAGTTGCTTGCTTGGAGATCAAAGTCCTTTCCCAGGCTACCAGTCAGGATGCCTCTGATAACATCAGATTCTTTCAGTGTAATTGATATAAATAAGTCTTTGGAACTTGCACCCACTTTTGTGGCAGGTTCGGTCTTATTATATTTATTCTGCATTCTCCTAGTTCATTTTCTCAGCAAGTAAATATGATATTTAAGAGTGACATTGATTAATGATATAATTGCAGCATGGAAGAAACAATTTATTATTTTAGCAGTTTCCTCCAAATTGCTTATGCTCTGAGAAATTGGAATGTGAGATTGTGGAGCCCTGGAGTAATGACACCTGGTATCAGATTTTTTTGAGATGAAATCTCACTATGTTGCCCAGTCTGGTTTCAAGCTCCTGGGCTTAAGTGATCCTCCTGCCTCAGCCTCCCAAATAGCTGGGACTTCAAGTGCGCACGACCATGTACAGCTTGTTATCACATTTTTTTTCATCAGACTTTGTGTGCTATTCTGTGTAAGGCATTTGAGTGTACAAAAAGGTGGTAAAATGTTGCTTCAGGATCATGAGAGGGGCCTTTGAAAGGTAAATGAGAAAATATAGAGCTAAGATTAGCCAAGTATAACCATGTGCACATATGTTTCGAGGGAAGAGTGTCATAGATAAAAGCAATTAAAGATCGGACTCTGAGATAATGTATATGCAGAGCATGTGGGAAGACCTTTAGGGTCCTTCAAACAACAGCACATTTTCAAAGAGCTGGTGGGTTTTCCTTTGGGGAGAAAATTTCCTATTTGGCTCCTGGCACAAACCAAAGCATTTGGACAGTGTGCTCCCAGACCCTGTTCAGATCTGTGGGGCATGATCAGTCATACAAACCAGAGCTGCTGGAGTTAGAAAATTCTTTGTTTCCTCCCCATATTCACCTCTCAAGAAGGGGGTCTTTCCCTGGTATGATTACAAAGGACAGATTTTTGTATGTTTACAGGGAAATTAGCATAAGAAATACTCAACTTTTAAAGATCCTAATGTGCCTGGCAACTTAATATAGAGCAAACTCATACCAGAAACACAATCCCTGGCCCCCTGCCTGTGTGCTGCTGGCCAGGCCTTTGTTGGTGAGTCTGGCCCAAGAAAAGGGTCTGCAGAAAATCATACTGTGGCTCACTTTGTTCATGCATTGGGAATGACATTCCTTCCCACCCCAGGAAAACCTTCGGGATTTGCAGAGACACAGGCCAGCCAATTACATGGTTGGCCTCAAAGTCTAGATGCTAAGCAATTCTCCCATGCCCAGAAAAATCCAAAGCGTGTATGTAGTTTAACTAGAAAGCCATTGGTAAATATCTATTGTCTTCTAGAATTATGCTGTGTTGATGTATAATTTGTGCCCAAAGCTAGAAGGAACCACTACGACTAGTCAAATAGCAGCCTCAACGCCCACTTAGCCTCTACCTCTGAATTTTACCATAGTGGCGTTCAGCTGATAGAGCGAGAAGAAGAGGTGTGCATTTTTTATGAAAAAATAAATATCCAAGAGAAGATGAAATTAAATGGGGAAATTGAATTACATGTCCTGGAAGAAAAGATCCGATTCCTGAAACTAAAGATTGCCGAGAAACGAAGACAGATTCATGTGACCCGAAAATTATTGCCAACCAAGAGGTCCCTGGACGCAGACATAGCCTTGCTCCAGATTCAGGTGGGAGAGTGGTCAGGGGACATTTCCTCAGATCATTTGCTTTTCCTCCACTTTATTAGTGTGTAGGTTGTATGAGTTATGTCTTGTTTAAAAATGTCTTTGAACACAATTCTAAGATGGAATCTGTGCTTCAGGCATCCATGATACAAATTGTCTTTTTTTCTCATGAGGCATTGTCTACCTTTTTTGAAACTTAAGAGTTACCTTGGGCTCAGCTTTCTTGTAGCTCACAACTTAATCTAGGCTGTCACTACTCTCCACATGATTATGTTGTTGATGCTTGCTGGAAAGATCTTGGGGACCATCTAGCTCTCTTATTTTTTATATTCTTTCCCCATAGCAAGAGATTGCCTGGAGTTTGTTGCTTAGTATTAACTGCCAATCACATATAATTAGATTCCTATACTCCTGTAGTTCTCCTTTAACTTAGTAACCTGGCCTCTGACATGACCTTTTTAAAAGTGAAATAAAGCCAAAAAATTCAAATATGAAATAGTAAAAAATAAAACATGAATATAAAGCTACTTTCTTCACATGTAATATTTGGAGTTTTTTCCTTAGTGAAAATTAGAAGTAGAAATTTGTGGCCTGAACTTTTTCCCATTTAGTGTAGCAGGAACAAATTCAAATCTATTAACATTTTTCTAAAATGTCATGTTTACTTTTTTTCTGGTTACAAAATTTTTTAACTGAATGGTCTTAATTTTATAAAAGTATAAAAATTTTGAAGAAAAAATTCTATCCCCAAGATAATTATAATTATTCAAAATCTGGGAGCAAGCCTTCCATTCTTTTTCTAGGCATATAAGTAAATGTTTTTCATTAGCTCATGCTCTAGCAAGTTTTGGGTCCTCCTTTTATTTATTTGACTTAATCATGTGAAGGGCCTTCACAGGACTTCATGGAATGGGATGACGGATCTACTTTCATGTTGTATGCCGTTTGAGTATGTGTATACGATATAGGTAATGGCATCTTTCAGTTTGTACAAGTAAGTATGCCAAGGTTCTGATTCTAGTGTTTTCTTAGCCCTAAGTTTTCCCATTAATTTCACCAAGTGTGGCCAAATTTAGATCAATTAGCCAGAAAGTACCCTTAGCCTCTTGCAAACCTCTCCAGGCTCTGAATCCTGCTTCCAACAATGGGTTCATTTGGAGGCAGCACCTCATCACCGCACATACAGTGCCTGTTTCACTTCTGCATCATGTCAGTGCAGACTCAGGACTCATTCCTCCTCAGGCTATACCTACACAAGACCATTTGGGTAAGGCCTTGGGCTGTGAGCAGACTTCATTAAAGATTTGGGGCAATGGTGTGTGGGGTTACATTACAGAAATGCAAAGAACTTCAATTAGATTTAGATATCCATGCTCTTTACAGTTCCTTGGAGCCCCTCTGTCACCAGAGATAGTCCTCAAGGTGCTGTACCCCACACAGTACCCTCACCTAGCTTGTCTTTCCATCTTTCACCTCCCCTCCACAGTCTTACCCCCAAAGATTGCCTCTAGGAACTCCATACTTGTCTCACTCCATTTTACAGAATAATCTGGCTCTCTCCAGCTCTTTCCCAAAATGCAGCTTCAGGTCCCTCTTTGCCCATCCTAAACTATGAGATGCCCAGCAGCACAAAAGGACTTTAGATTCAATAAGAACAATTTCTTCTCTATTGTGTAAGCATATTCCTTTTGCTAACTGGAAATTAGTACTTCCATTCAATGGATAAAATTAATTATTCTTAGAAAAAATACTTGTCATTTCATTATATAAAACCATTGATCTATGTCTCTGTTTTTGTGCTAGTACCATGCTGTTTTAGTTACTGTAGCCTTGTAGTATAGCTTGAAGTCTGGTAAATTGATGCCTCCCAATTTGTTCTTTTTACGTACGATTGCTTTAGCTTTACGGGGTCTTCTCTGGTTTCATATGAACTGTAGAATTATTTTTTCTAGACCTGCAAAAAATGATGTTGGTATTTTAATAGGGATTGCATTGAATCCATAGATCACTTTGGGTAGTATAGACATTTAACAATGTTGATTCTGCTGACCCAGGAGCATGGTATGATTTACCACCTGTTTATGTCCTCTACTATTTCCTTCCTCAGTGTTTTGTAGTTCTCCTGGTAGAGATCTTTTACCTTGTTAAATGTATTCCTAGGTATGTTATTTTCTTTGTAACTATTGTGAAGGGTATTGAGTCTTTGATTTGGTTCTCAGTTTGACTGTTGTTGGTATATAGGAATGCTGATTTGTGTACATTGATTTTTGTAACCTGAGACTTTGTTTATCAATTCTAGAAGTCCCATGGCATTATCTTTGGGGTTTTCTGGATATAAGATCATATCATCAGCAAAGAGCAATAGTTTGACCTCTTCTGCCCCCATTTGGATGCCCTTGGTTTCCTTCTCTTGTGTGATGGCCAGGACTACCAGTTACCCAGTGTGAAATGTAAATTCAGTTTTATCCAAGAGAAATTTTATGCATTTTATCACACTACATGCCCTGCCTTATGGCGAACCTTTACCATTAAATTCTAAGCTTAAGAACAGTTGAATAGAAAGTTTTTAATTAGTCTTCAAACTGCACTTGTCTACTCAGCAGTAATCATGTGTGCCCTTAAAGGACATGCTGTGACATTTCTAGCTTGAGGCTGGTCGCTTCTGCACTGGCCTGTGGTGCTGGATCCTGGTCATGTCCTGTTATTTGTTATAGCTGCAGTGCTTGGGGTGTTTTTTTAAGTCGTCTTCCCATTTTTTTTTTGCGTAATTTTCAGAATTCTCTTAAGGTTTACATTTTTTTCAGTTGTTTGAAACAGTTTTTAGTTGTCCAACAGTCTAATCCAAGGATTATCATGAGTCATATTCTCCTGGTTCTTATAATGGCTCCATTTTACGGATCTTGGAAGTCACATGAACTGTTTTAAGACACAAGAATATTATTTTATAAAGACAAAGTGAACAGTTTTTGCTCGAATACTAATGGAAAAATAAATTCTAGGCACCCCTTTGATAAAAAACAAAAATATGGTGCTTGCTTATTTAATTTCCTAAGAAAAGGGAACATTAAATATTAATACAACAAATGCTTGATTACATATATATGTACAATTCTACCTATATCACTCTTGGACATGTTATAAAACACTTTAAATAAACTAGCTCATTCAGTGGATCAACCCCTTTTCTCATTTAACAATTGAGAATATATAAATTATTTCCCTGAGATTACAGAGGTATGTAGTAGGAAAACAAAGTGATGCCTCTTACGTTGTCACCATGTTCCACATCTCTCCCTGAGTGTGGCTACCATTTCTATTTAGCGATAGCCATATTGCTTCATCCACCTCCAAAGTCTCACTGACTCAAAAAATATAGTTGATAAATAAGACACTATATTTTGCTGGTTTAGCAGAAAAGATACAAATAGCTCAAGCTATTCCTCACAGAGTATACATTGGATTGACCCAGTAATTACGAACTTTCTTATGGGGTCCAGCTTGTTGTATGCTGGCTACCCTGGTCTCAGTGACAGCCTGCAAAGAGGTGAAGGTTGCATACTTTGAGCCCTGCAACCACACAGCATCCCATGAGTACAACACAGAATGGGAAGCAATCAAAGGGCTACTATGAAATGAGCCTTTTCCCTGACTCAGAAGCCACTACCTTGCCTTGTAGAGTCAAGCACAGGCATCACCATTGCAGTACCATGAATGAGCAGAAACAGGGCTTGACCACAGGTCCCAGCTAGGGGAGCGTTAAGAAAACAGTTCTCTTCCACCCTCACCTGGGTTGGTCCTGTTGAAAGATTCTAAAGACCCTGGGCTATGTGATTTTAAGATTTACTGAGCTAAGGAGTTTTAAAGCTAATGTTTCTTTCTTATTTAATAGTTTTCACAGTGCACAGACAGAATAAGAGACCTGGAGAAACAGTTTATAAATCCTGAGGGTAAGGACAGAGCTCGCCTCCTTCCAGGGAAAGATCTGACCGAAAAAGAAATGATCAAAAAATTAGACAAGGTAAACATTCTTAAGACTGCATCTATCAGTCCCTTGTTGATACAGGTTTACAGATACCTCTGGTATGGTTTCATGTTATGCCAACAGACCTATCCTTCATTATTCTAACCACCAATACAGTCCTTTCATTGTAATCTAGTAACAAAGTCTAAGCTTGATTTAGATACTTGCCAAAAGAAGTTAAAATCCATTGGTTTCAAGAGTCTAAAAGCACCTTTCTCTCACGGCTTGAAGGAGCAATTTGTCTTCCTGATGGAAACACATTAGCTGCTAGAGTGAGAGGGTCATATTCCACCATGGTGAGAAGAACTTCCAGAGCTGTAGGGGGTGGGAGGATAGTGCTCTCATTAGGAAATCAGATTTTGTCTCAGAACTTTTTTGTTTCTTATTGAAATTATTTCCAACCCTAGCTGGAACTGCAGCTGGCCAAGGAGGAGGAGAAGTTACTGGAGAAGGATTTCATCTACGAACAGGTCTGCCGGCTCACAGACAGGCTCTGCAGCAAAACACAGGCCTGCAAGCAGGACACGCTGTTCTTAGCCAAGAAGGTCTGCCTGAGCCCCCACATTCTCTCTTCTGCCCCTATTCCTTCTTATCTTTCATTTTCCACAGACTGCTAGATTTATTGAGAGAAGCACTGGATAATTTGGCTTTATGACTAGGGAAACAGAAATGTAAGGGCAACTCAGAAAATTGGCCAGAATAAGTTTCAGTACTGTTCCCTGAATGAATCTGCTTTTCAATAACAATATAAAAGTTTCACTTAACTATTATCATATTTGAGTAGTTGCCCTGTTATCTTTGTATCTCATGCGCTAAGTTAAATCCTTTCTACTTCCTTTTGAATGGAAGGCCTCACTTATCCAGCAGTCTGAGTAGGAACTGCTCCAACTTAGTCAGACTCCAGAAATGGAAGGGGATCGTTACAGAGAACAGGCCGACTGCACCGTGGTGGTGGAGCCACTGCCAGGCCCCACCAGTGAGGAAAGGCTAGTAACATAGAGCTTCCCAATTTAAGAAACTGAAGATACCAGGACTGCAGATTCAAAGCCACGGGGGCGGGGGGAGGGGTGGCGCTGGGACTGCTAGAAGCTCCACTGAAAGGAGCAGCCAGCAGGACACTGTGTACCACAGAGCATCCCGTCAGCAGTAACTACCAAACCCTGCCATGTGCTACGCTTATGCCAGGCATGAGGCAGAAACAAAGAGGAAGGGATACATTGCCCACACTATCTTCTGTTCCCCCGACTATAGTAACACCCATGCTCAAGACTGCAGGCTCTGGAGGGCAACAATTGCTCCTCATTTCTTCTTCATTTTCCCAAGTTCCTGGTATTTACTAGACTCTAGCAAACCATTTATTGACTGCATAACAGTCAGTTCTGTCCTAGAAACAGTTTTGGCACACCTAAAAGGAAATTACTGTAAACAAAGGCCATCTTTATTTTATTTTTATGCTTGCACTCTTATCACCCCTCTAATAGACTGATCAGTCCAGTGACGGTTGTGAAATTCACAACTTTAACTCATAAAATAAGAAATGCTAAGATCTTAGCTGAGATCATGAACCTTGCCTGAATTAGCATATCTGATGTTTCTTTTGCAAAATGAATTTCCCTTTCTTTCAGGGAAGGGAAACTAAGTCTTAGCATTTCTTATTTTATGAGTTAAAATAAATGGAAGTTTATTAAACTTAATGGAAGTTGTCTTAGTGGAAGTGTAAAAGTAAAATAAAAATCACAAAACTTCAGTTTCACCTCCATGGTTCCTGTACTGCTATCTAGCCCACACAGCTCCTGCCCTGCCTCCAGGCCTCAGCTCTAGCTCTGAGGCTCCCACTACTCCTGGGCCCATGGCTCCTGGCTGCAGTTGAGCCCTGCAGCTCTGCTTGGTGGGAATCACCTGTGGTCCAACGCACCACCAGGGACCCTCGAGACACCATCGCACCTGGACCTGGTTTGAGCAAACACCCACAGCCTAGACAACCCCGACCATTGCCTAGATAGCATGACCCAGCTGCCACTGTCACCTCTGGGGGAGAGACAGGGTCGGAGCAGTCCCCCACAATGTCAGCCTCCATGAAAAGGGTCTTGCCCAGCCCCCAACTCAAGCTCCCAACAACATGGGCAACAACCCACAATGCCACACAAAGATCATCCAGCACCAGCTTGAACTGTGACAATCACAAGGGAACCGGACAAAACAGAACAGCTGCCTTACAGGCTCTCGGAGTGCCTGCCTCTCCCCTGCTGGGTCAATCTTCCAGAGTAGGACACGAAAGCACCATCTAGGGACTCCTACTCCTCTCACTAAGTAGGAGAGTTCCCAGCAAAGGAGAACCAGGTGTCCTGCAACCCTATCAGCCCTCTGCTGAGAGAAGAGGATTCAGATGAGAAGAAACCAGCAAAGGAACTCTGGAAACATGAAAAAAACAAAACAGTTTGACACCCCCAAGGGATCACATTGGATCTACAGCAGTGGACCACAACCAAAAGGAAATTATTGAAATGTTGGAAATGGAATTCAGAATATGGATGGCAAATAAGATTAATGGAATTGAAGAAAAGGTTGAAAACCATCAAAATGAAGCCAAAAAATTTTAGGAAATCAATGAAAAAAATGCAAAAGTCACTAAAGAGCTAGACAACATAAGAAAGTATATAAAAGAACTTAAAGAAATGAAAGACATTTAGGGAATTTCAAAATATAGCAGAAAGCTTGAATAACAGGCTAAACCAAGCAGAAAAAAGAATGTTAGAGCTTGAAGATAAGGCTCTCAAACTAACCCAGTTAGTCAAATTACAGAAAAGACAAATAAAGAAAAATCACTCAGAAATATGGGACTATGTGAAGAAAAATATACAAATTATAGGTATCCCTGAGGGAGAAGAAGTAGCAGCAAAAAGCATGGAAAATCTGTTTGAGGGAATTATTGAGGAAAACTTCCTTACTATTGCCAGAGATTCAGACACAAGATGGTCATCAAACACTGGGAAGATTCATAGTGAATAGGACATCTCCAAGACACACAGTCGGCCAAAGTCAAAATGAAGGAGAAAATTCTGCAAGTAGCAAGATGAAAGCAAAAACTAATCTCCAAAGAAAAACTCATCAGGTTAACAGCAGACTTCTCAGTGAAGATCTTATAAGCCAGAAGGGATTGGGAGTCTCATTTTTAGTCTTCTAAAATGAACATCTGCCAGCCAAGAATTGTGTATCTTGCAAAGCTAAGTTTCATAAATTATGTGGAAATAAACACTTTTCCAGACAACCAAACATTAAGGGAATTTGTTACTAGATCTGCCCTACAGGAAATATTCAGAACTGCATTATACATACAATAGCACAATAGATATTTAACAGTGTAAAAACACCCAAAAGTTAAATCTCACAGCTCTTTTGAGACAATAGCACAAGAGGGAAAACAAAACAATATACCCACCATGATGAACAGAATAGCATCACACATATCAATACTAACACTCAATGTGCATGATCTGAATGCCCAACTTCAAAGACATAGACTGACTGAATGGATCAAAAAACAACCCAAGTATCTGTTTCCAGGAAACACATCTAACCCACAAGCATTAACACAGACTCAAGGTGAAGGAATGGAAAAAAATATTCCATGCAAATGTAAACCAAAACAGAGCAGGTATAGTCATTCTCCTATCAGATAAAATAGACTTTAAACCAACAATGGTTTAAAAAAAAAAAAAAAAAAGACAAAGATGGTCATCATAAAATGGTAAAGGGAGCAATTCAACAAGATGACATAACAATCCTAAATATTTATGCACCTAACAGGAGCACCCAATTCATAGATCAAACCTTACTATATCTAAGCAAAGAGATAAAGAGTAGCATCATAATTGCCAGGACTTCAACACCTGACAGACCTAGATAGATCATTGAAGCAGAAAATGAATGAAGAAACACTGGACTTAAATGGGGCTGTAGAACAAATGGACCTAACAGACATTTAAAGAACATTCTGCCCCAAAACTACTAAATATACATTCTTATCAGCACATGGAACATTCTCCAAGATTGATCATACATTAGGCTACAAAACATGTCTTAGCCAATTCAAAAAATCAAAACCATACCATGTATTGTCTTAGACCACAGTGGAGTAAAACTAGAAATCAGTTCCAAGAGAGACACTCAAATCTACATAATGTCATGGAAATTAAACAACCTGTTGCTGAACAATCCTTGGGTCAATGACAAAATTAAGATAGAAATCAAAAGTGTCCTCAAACTGAATGACAAAGGGGATATAAGCTATCAAAATCTATGGGATACAGAAAAAGTGGTCCTAAGGGGAAAATTTGTAGCCTTAAATGCCTATATCAAAAAGACAGAAAGACCACAAATTAACAACCTAATGTCACATCTTAAGGAACTAGAATAGGAAGAGCAAATCAGACCCAAAGTCAGCAGGAGAAAAGAAACAAACTCAGAGCAGAACTAAATGAAATGGAAAAAAATATATAAAGGATCAATGAAACAAAAAGTTGGTTCTTTGAAAAGATAAACAAAATTGATAGACCTCTACCTAGATTAATCACAAATAGAAGAGAAAGGACCCAAATAAGCTCAATCAGAAATATAAAAGGGTATGTTACAACGGATACCACATAAATATAAAATATTATTCATGAATGGTGTGAAAATCTTGATACACATAAACTAGATAATGTAGAGGAAATAGATAAATTCCTTGAAACACACAACCTCCCAAGAATCAATCAGGAAGAAACAGAAATCCTAAACAGACCAATAGCAAGCAGTGAGACGGAAGTAGTAATAAAAAAAAAATCTCCCAACAACAAAAAAGCCCTGGGACCAGCTGAATTCACAGCCAAATCCTACCAGACCTACAAAGAAGAACTGGTACCTATCCTACAGAGATTATTCTACAACATCGAGGAGGAGGGAATCTGCCTAACTCATTCTATGAAGCCAATATCACCTTAATACCAAAGCCAGGAAAGAACACAACAACAACAAAAAAAACTACAGACCAATATTCCTCATGAATATACATGCAAAAATCCCCAACAAAATACTAGCAAAGTGAATTCAACAGCACATCAAAAAAATAACTCGCCATGATCAAGTGAGCTTCATCCCAGTGATGTAAGGATGGTTCAACATATGCAAATTAATAAACGTGATTCACCATATTGTTTATGAGGTGAAGCAAAAATAAAGACCATATGATTATCTCAATATATGCAGAAAAAGCATTCGATAAAATCCAGCACCCTTTCATGATAAAAACCTTCAACAAACTAGGCATCAATCAGAGGAACATACCTCAAAATTATAAAAGACATATATGACACACACACAGCCAACATCATCTGAATGGGAAAAAGCTAAAAGCATTCCCCTTAAGAACTGGAACAAGACAAGGGTGCCCACTGTCACCACTTCTATTCAACATAGTACTGGAAGTCCTAGCCAGAGCAATCAAGAAAGAGAAAGAAATAAAGAGTATCCAACTTGGGAAAGAGGAGTTCAAACTATCACTTTTCACTAAATATATCATCTTGTATCTAGAAAATCCCAAAGACTCCACTAAAAGACTCCCAGAATTGATAAATTCACCAAAGTCTTAAGTTACAAAATCAATGTACACAAATCAGTAGTATTTGTATATACTAATAACTGTCAAGCTGACAGTCAAATCAAAGACTCGATATCATTCACAATAGCTACAAAGAAAATACTTAGGAATTTACTCAACCAAAGAAGTGAAAGAGTTTTACAAGGAAGAACTACAAAACACTGATGAAAGAAATCACAGATGACACAAATATCTCATGCTCACGGATCAGTAGAATCAACATTGTTAAAATGTCCATACTACCCAAAGTGATTTACAGATTCAATGCAATCCCCATCAAAATATCAACATATTTCACAGATCTAGAAAAAAAATTCTACACTTCATTCAGAACCAAAAAAGAGCCTTAGCCAAAGCAATCCTAAGCAAAAAGAACTAATCTGGAGGCATCACCTTACCAGACTTCAAATTATACTACAAGGCTATAGTAACCAAAATAGCACAGTACTAGTATAAAAGTAGAAACATAGATCAATGGAACAGAATAGAGAACCCAGAAATAAAACCTGTCTACAATCAACTGATCCTCAACAAAGCAGACAACAATATACACTGGGGAAAGGAAGCACCATTCAATAAATAGTGCTGGGAAAACTGATACCCACATGTAGAACAATGAAACAGGGGCCCTATCTCTTGACATATACAAAACTTCAAGATGGATGAAAGGCTCAAATGTAAGGCATGACACCATAAAATTTCTAGAAGAAAATGTAGGAAAAACTCTTCTAGACATCAGCCTAGGCAAAGAATTTATGACTAAGACCCCAAAGGCAAATACAACAACAACAAAACTAAATGGGACTTGATTAAATTAGAAATCTTCTGCACGGCAAATAATCAACAGAGTAAATAGACAACCTACAGAATGGGAGAAAATATTTGCAAGCTATACATCTGATAAAAGCCTAATGTCCACAATCTACAAAGAACTCAATCAGTAAGGAAAAAAACAACCCCTTTAAAAAGTGCGCCAAAGACATGAACAGAAGTTTTTCAAAAGAAGACAGAGACATGGCAAAATATATGAAAAGAAATGCTCAACTTCACTAATCATCAGGGAAATGCAAATTAAAACACCAATGAGATAGTGCCTTACCCCTGTCAGAATGGCCATTAGTAAAAAGTTAAAAAGCAATAGATGCTGGCGTGGATGCAGAGAGAAAGGAATGCTTATACACTGTTGGTGGGACTACAAATTAGTACAACCTCTGTGAAAAACAGTGTGGAGATTCCTCAAAGAAATAAATGTAGACCTACCACTGGACCCAGCAATCCCACTACTGGGTGTCTACCTAAAGGAAGTCATTTTATCAAAAAGACACCTATACGCAAATGTTTATTGCAGCACATTTCACAATTGCAAAGATGTGGAATCAACCTAAGTGCCTATCAATTCATGAATGGATTAAGAAAATGTGGTATATATATACATCATGAGTACTACTCCGCCATAAAAAGGAGTGAAATAATATCATTTGCAGCAACTTGGATGGAACTGGAGACCATTATCCTAAGTATCTCAGCAATGGAAAAACAAACACCCCATGCACTCTTTAATAATTGGGAACTAATTGATGGGCACATGTGGACACAGAGATACAAAGATTGGAATCCAAGAAGAGGAAAGGGTGGGGGGAAGGTTAAAAACTGGTTGGGTACAATGAACACTATTTGGGTGATGGTCACACTAAAAGCCCCGACATAAGCATTATAAAAAGTATCCATGTAACAAAAGCATTTGTACCCCCTTAAGATAATGACTCATCATTGAAGCTTTAAATGGTAGTCATTTATATTCAAGCATGCTTCGAAAAGGTCAGTGTAGAAGAGACATAAAAATTCATATTCCCTACATCCTTAGGGAGACAAAGTGTGTATATAAAAATTAGTTATTACATTTTCAGATGCAGGTAAAGGACTAGCAGCAACATTCCTCTGAGCAGATGTGCAGATATGAGTGTATGTTCTATTAGGAGAGGAAGGTGTTCAGGTTTAGGTGTAGCATTTGGAAGTTCATTTTCATGTCCCAATTTATCCTGATCCAAAAGACTGAAGAATAAAATAGACTAAGAATTCATTCATTCAGAAAATATTTAGTTTTAATTTTGTTTGGTGCCTCTTATATTCAAAGCACTGCCCTGGATAATGGAACTATGATGATGAATAAAACAAATATTCCTTGTCCTCATGAAGAGTACATTCTTATAGGATGACAGACTATACCCAAATAGTCAAATACACATATAATGTCAGTATAGAGACATGGTACGATGAAAGCAAGAAAGCAAAGTAAGAGCAACTCTAGTGAGTAGGTGTTGCCACTCAACTGTCCCACTATGGCTATGGCCACACTAAAACATTCACCTTCTGCAAGCAAGAAGCTGACAGGAACCACCAGTTCCAGTTTTACTTCTTTCCTATCTCTTGAAATTATTTCTTTTGGTTAGTCCTCTTTAACTCTATTGATGCTAAATAGCTGATATGAAAAGTTTAAAGAACAGGAACATCTCCCATTCCAAATTATTGACCACATTGTCCCCTGCTCAGCTCATACTTGCTTCTGACCTAATAAGGATGCATTCCAGGAATTATGATCAATAATGCTAACACACTGAGGTGACAGTTTTCATTAAAAAATCATTTCAAGGCCGGGCGCGGTGGCTCATACCTGTAATCCTAGCACTCTGGGAGGCCGAGGTGGGTGGATTGTTTGAGCTCAGGAGTTCGAGACCAGCCTGAGCAAGAGCGAGACCCTGTCTCTACTAAAAAAAAAAATAGAAACGATCTGGACAACTAAAAATATATAGGAAAAAAAAAAAAATTAGCCGGGCATGGTGGCGCATGCCTGTAGTCCCACCTACTCAGGAGGCTGAGGAAGTAAGATCGCTTGAGCCCAGGAGTTCGAGGTTGCTGTGAGCTAGGCTAACACCACAGCACTCACTCTAGCCAGGGCAACAGAGTGAAACTTTGTCTCAAAAAAAAAAAAAAAATCATTTCAGACCAAGACCTTTGCTGATTATCTTGTATAAGCAAAGAGTAACTTTTGTTTTACCAGATTTTTTCCCCTGGATAAGTGACAAACTAATAACATGGCAAAATTAGGTCAGAACTTAGGCATCAAGAACACTCTTTCCTCTCTCCTCACCTCTTAAAAAAAATAGACATTAAACTATTCCCCTCAATGCTATCCAAATCCAGTAATTAGATAACAAATCTTCTTTTCTCTCCTTGTCCTTATTTACACACCATGGGGTTGGGCTCAATCTGAGGTCTCTTCCAGTTCTTAATTTCTATGAAGTCCCAGTTAGACTGCCCTTCCTTTGGGCAAGAATGCCTCCTACCATTACAGACAGCCAGCAGCCTGCCATTTCCTTCAAGTCTTGATGGCATATATATACAGTCTAAGCCCTGGGCTCTTTAATTCTAGATGAATGGTTACCAGAAAAGGATCAAGGATGCTACTGAAAAAATGATGGCTCTTGTTGCTGAGCTGTCCATGAAACAAGCCCTGACCATTGAACTCCAGAAGGAAGTCAAGGAGAAAGAAGAATTCATCTTCTCTTGCAATTCCAGGATAGAGAAGGGTCTGCCACTCAATAAGGAGATTGAGAAAGAATGGCTGAAGGCACTTCGAGATGAAGAAATGTGTGCCTTGGCCATTGCTGAGAAGTCTCGGGTAAGCTTTGGCTCCTGTTTTGCATTTGTGCCAGGAGAGGCTGCTTTCAGGGGGGTCATTCTTCCCACAACATATGAACCATTGCCCACTCTACCACACACAGTCCCAACAGTCATTACAAGTTTCTTTTTTTATGATATTATGAAGATAAGTTCAGCAGTCCAAAGTGCCATAATCCTCCCTGAAGGACACTTGGAAAGCATCAAGGCCCACCCCACAGCCTCACCTCCGGGCCTTCCGCCAGCATAGCAATGCCCAGGCTGGCACAGGTCTCCAATCTCTGTCTTCACACCCCTGCTCGGACCACACCTGACTCTTCCATGTCCATGTCCTGTGGCCTCCACAGCACATTGTGAGGCCTAAAGCCACACTGTGATTGCCACAGCCTTCCGCAGATGCTTCACTTGCACACACAGGCCTCAGTGCCACCCCTTCTCCCACCACTGGCCTAAGTCTGGGTCTGTCACTGGCTCCACCTGCAAGTTGGATACCCAGTTCTCCTGTCTACTCCCCATGACCTTTCGATATTCTTAGAATGGAATTAGGCATCTCTTTCCAAGAAGACTGCATCCTGGGGACGTACAGCTCACTCTTAGACTGTCAAGTGATGTCACCAAAAGGACCACCATTCACTCCCTAACCCAAGAAAAAGCTGTATTCCACACATACCCTAGGCATACCCCAGCACAGGGTTCATAATTTCCATACCATTTGGGACTATACATTTTAGGGCATTCAGATTTTACCTATGGTGTCCCACTGTCATTTACCTGTCTCCATTACGTATTTTTGTGGCCATGAGAGATTTTTCAGAGGCACAGGCACAGTCTTGAAGATCTTGAGACTCAACGCAAGCTCCTGGCCATTTTTCTTCTCTGCTTCCACTTTAATCCTTTCTCTCTTCTATTGGGACATTTCCTCATCAATGACTTACCAAAGGAAATACGTTGTCCTGCCTTTGTCAAAAATAGGGAAATAATTAGTGCTTGATAACAGATAATTGAAGTCAGAACATAATATGTTTGAGACCCACCGTTTTTTATTCATAGAACCCCTAAACCCCCTGGAACAGTGTGATACTAGAGCAGTCCTGTCCATTCCGGTGAGATGGAATGTGTTCA